CGTAACATTTACCGGCATTAAACATCATTTTATTATCTATACTCCACTTATGGATTCGGTCGATGTCACTTTGAAGATGTTCGGGAGTTACATCCTTATCAATCACTTGGACTAATTTCAAATCGTCAGCATATAGGAGGCATTTGGCATACTTTACTACTTTAATGAGATCGTTAACCATAATGAGAAAGAGAATCTATATAATGCCACAAGATACAGTTCTGAGTCACCTGCATCCAACGACATGTTTTACAAGATCGTCACTCCATCTAGTGACTCCACACTTCACTTAGTACAAGACTACTCGAGAACCTTTCCAATTTCTTACTGTTGGTTCTTCGAGCTATATGGCCGGACCACCTCAGCATACATAGTAAATATGTATACCTAACTATGCTCACATTATACTTACACTTAAACACGTAAATAAAATAAAATAATTTATTTTTCTTTACAAAACACTGTTTTGGTACGAGAAGGCACAGCAACAACATCTTTTCGCCGCTTTTTCAAGATGCATGGGTCAAAGGGCAGGGATTTGTGTGCTTTGAGGGTTGTTATAGTAGTTCCCATTTGGCTTGGCAGCCATTGCCACTTCAGCCTAACGATATGTTGAGCTAAATTACTTAACAATCCAGAACTTTCTCCACCAACCGGTTTTCAATTCTGAGGCCAGCCCATTGTCTCTTCTTATTCTATAAGCAGGATTCCAGTTACGAATTAAATTAATTTTTATTAGTCTCTTTCAGTTGCTCCCGAGTAATCCAAAAAAAGAACTTTGTGCCGGCTGCGCTATCAGAAAAAGGATCAGGTACAAGAGGCTAAAGAATCCGAATTTTAATAACCTTACAAAAGTTACCTGTGGTCACTTGGACGAATTTTTCAATATCTTCGTGGACTATTTGTGCGAGATCGGAAAGCTGTTGTCATGTGAACCTGAGACCCGCGTCGGTGAAACTCTACTGGAGCTTATACACGTTTTCATCATTTTGGGCCACGACCTGTGTATATTTATGAAGTGTGTGTGTCGTGTCATTAAAAGATTAGCCAATAAATGAATGGTTTGTAAAGACTTGAGATATTTTATTTCAATATAGGGATTCGCCGCGCAGTGGCGGCGTATGATTAAACTAAACATAAGAGTAACGTAAGCTGAAACAGGAAATAGGCAACCTCCAGATAATAACTCAAAATAATAAAATAAGACGGTTTCTAACTCTCGCGCTAAACGTGGCAACTGTGACAAAATCCCCCCTCTGTGGCAGTTTAAGGAGAAGGCCTATGTACAGCAATCGACTTTTGAAAGACCAACCAAGCGGGAACTAAAAGCAACGAAATTGTTGTTTTAAAGAAAAGTGAAGTATCGTAGTGGGGTCATCACTTTGGCCAGAAGGAAAAGTGGAGATCTCGCGCCGGAGTAGGTATTCAGTCCGGGAATTGGCCAACGCTTTGTTTGGTAATAAACGAGCCTGTTCTATATACAGGTACGAGTACAAGAGCGGTGCGAAACTTCGATAACGTAATTCGTTATTCAAGTCTTCGGTTCGTTTTGATTGTGACGCGAGGACAGCGCTGCCACTATTGTATGTTTGAGAAATAAAAAAAAACTTTGGGGCATTATGGCAGGCTTTTTGCCCGAAACTCGTGCACATATTGATTAATAATATCCCCCTCGACTGCCTCGTTGGTCTAGTGGTTGTAGTAGGGCGACTGCTGATCATGAGGTCCTGGGTTCGAATCCCGGGTCGGGCCAAAAAATTAATTATTGAGTTTTTCCGTCAAGAAATTCTCAGTAGCTGCCCGGAGTCAGGAAGTTGGCGGTGTCTCACCCCCGTGCCTCGGAAAGCACGTAAAGCCGTTGGTGCTGCGCCTGATCTCTCTCCGGTCGTGTCGGTTTACCGTCCCATCGGATTATGAGAGTGAGCGAATAGAGAGTGCACCTGTGCTTGCGCATACACTTGGGTACTAAACTCCTGTCCTGCGCCGATGGCTAGTCTCCGTAGTCATTCAATCAATTCAGTCTGGAGGACATTATATAGTATCCCCTATGAATATATCGGCGACAAAGGACGACCACATCATCTATTCTATTTATATTTTGTAACTTTTAAACCTTTTTTTAAGGCAAAATCGAGTAATTTTCGGTTGATCCTCAAAAACCTATGGAGAAAATAATAAATTCCATACATTTGAGAGGTTGCACCAAAATCACTCGAATTTACTTTAGAGGAGTATGTGGGATAAAATAAAACTATAAATACGTATATTTATGTAATTTTATTTTCTAGGGGACAGACTTTTTCATAAACTGTAGATTACCTATTACTGATGTTTTTTATTGCTTTTGCATATCGAGTATTTACTGGTAAAACCAGTTAAGTATCACCAATTTTTTGTGAAAATGAGTTAAAATATTATACTTCGTCTTAGAATTTTTTTCTTTATCGTCTGGTAAAATCTGCTTTTTAATAGGGCCATTGTTCGCAGAGATATTGAATGTGCTAACCATCTATCACCATGATAAGGTTAAAAAATGTCCACTAACTAACACTAATATCCTGTAAGTTTTAAGACTTTGATCACGGAATGTTATTATCAACTGTGATGTGAATCCTATTTGTGTTTTTTTTTTACAAAATGAAACGGTAAAAACTCTTAATTACTTTTACTAGACACTGATCACAAAAAGTTATTCGCTGCCTATATAGGTATCAGGAAGAACCGAACAAGTGCTCAAAGTCGTTAAACATATTGGTTTCCCTTAAGTGTTTACAACTGCCTTCACATGATGCATATTGTTTAGTTAGTCGAATAATGATTCGTAATTGGTGCTACCTTTGAAAATAAAAATACCGAAATTATTTTACATGCTTTTGTTTGTTTCACTTTCTGGCCATATTGACGAGTGCACTTCATCATTTTTTTTACTTTTTATAAGTCAGTGCTTGACCACGAGCCTACCTGGTGGTAAGTGGTGACGCAGCCTTTGATGGTAAATCGCACTGTCTTAGCGTAACAAACACCTATTTACTCTCGCCTTGAAAACACCCAGATTGTATTCGTACGGAAAGATAGACGCCGGCAAATTATTCCACTCCTTTGCCGTACGCATTAAAAAGTTGGTAACCCTCTTTTTACGTGGTAGAGCCATGCTGCAGTTATATTAGTAGTATAGTTGTAGCACTAATGGGTCGGTTCGACCGGAGAAGGACCACGCTCTCACAGAATGCCAGCGTGAAATAGTACCTTAATGCTGCTGTATTTCGAATGGTGAGTGTAGAGAACCGGAGACCCTTTTTACTGGAAACGAGGCATTCCATCTTAGTCCTCACGGGTGACAACGCATCTGCATTTTGATTTGTAATCGAGGATATATGTAGATGTCTATGGGCCGCAGCAACCACTTACCATCAGGTGGACTGTGTGCTCGTTTGTCACCCTATCCTATAAAAGAAAACATGGGTGCTGCGATTGGGCGCAGCTTATTATATTGGTGTGTTGCGCACTTCACGCCATCTGATCTGGTGTATGGACTCTCATTCGTCTCTGGCGTTTTCCTCGGCGGGCGTTGAGCGCAGAAGTTCTCGTGGGAGTGGTCGCCCGGCAGGTGGATGCGCATGGATTGGGGCCAAGTTTTGAAGATGTGGATGTGGCCCGTTATCTGCGCGGTTGAACAATCGTCTCGCAGCACGGGCTACAAATTCCTGTATAGTCTCGATCTTGAGATCACGAGAGATGACGTTTTTCCTGACGTTACGGCCAGCTCCCACGCTCACTCGGAGTGCAAGATTCTGCTGGGCCTGTATCCTATTGCGCTGAATGGCCGAGGTCAACGCGTACCAGGCTAGTGCTGCGTATATCAGCCGCAAGCGGACGTAGGTTTTATAGACACCGATCTTTATTTTTGTAGGGAGTTTGGATACCAGTATAGAATACAGTTTCGCTCGCGCAGCTCTGACCTGACTCACACCGTAGTCGACCATCGGGGTCATGCGCAACGAACGATCCATCTGGCATCCTAGGTATGTGACAGTTCTTCTCCAGCCTACATTCTGCCCGCGGAGTTGCAGTGTTAGTACTATTCTTGACAGCCTGGTCATGAAGGCGGTAGTCTTCCCACCGTTGACCGCCAACCTTCATTTGTCCAGCCACTCGCAACAGGTCCAACAGCCGCTGCAACTTCTTTGCAGCGATTTCTACCCGACGAGATGACGTGAAGTACGCATTGTCCTCTGCATACAGAGCTAGCATGACATCTTTTTTCCACTCCTCCAGGAAGCCTTTGAGTGTGAGGATGTCGATTGTGTAGACCGCAGTGATAGGCAGTTGCCCTGTGGCACCCCCGCTTAGATCGGTGGTGCTACCTAAACAGCCTCTTCCAAGTTGACATAGAAGCTCCGCTTCTCCCACACGATATTAGTCACACAAACATTGGCGGCAAGGTGGTATGTTCGATCAGCTTGTACACTAGCCTTGCGTGCCACACTCTGTCGAAGGCCTTCTCCATATTGAGAAGGACCCGCAGAAGCGGCCGCGGTCGTACTTGGCCGCAAGATAGTTTAGCACACGGGTCAGTTGCGATATGGCCAACTGATTGTTTTACGAAGAGCAACATGCAGAAATAGTCTCTTTAAAGTGAGCTTTTCATAAAGTATAGCTATGTGCAGTGATATCGTTATGGTGCGGTAGCTAGCCGTGTACTACCTGTAATTCGACTTTGGTAGCACGATGATCTTACCCTGCTTCCAAATGGTCGAGAAGTGAGCAGTATTCAGGATGCCGTTGTAGAGTCTGGAGAGTTCCACTATCCACTTTCTGGGCAGCTACTTAATGACCATGATGGTAATACTGTCGCATCCCGGCACTTTCCGGGGGGCAGGCGCATGATGGCGCGTCTTACCTCCACTGGCGAGATAAAGTCATAGGCTCGTAATGGCGGTACCGGGCTCGACAGGTATTCCTGTATCCCGTGGTTTTCTACGCTTTCTGCATGCTCCGTGTCAGTTTCTCACCTGTGCGCTCTTATTGCTTCCAATATCACTTCCGTCAGGGAATCGAGTTTCCTTTTCAGCCTTCTTCAGCTTCTTCCTTTCCACCAGCGGGCATCGTATCAGCACCCCGTAGAGACAGTGCGGGAAGAGAGTTGTAGTTGCTCTTTTACTGTTGTATGAAAATATAGGACTGCTGCCTCTACATCTTGGGTGGTAATGGAGGCGCCGAGTCTCTGCGGAAGCGTGGGGTGTGACTGTTTCAGTCCTTCTTTGTGATTGTTGTTCTCAGGGTTGAAGCGTGGCAATATGCTCCCTTTGGTTGGAACTAGGGAAAGTTGTGTAGCGCGGTTGTTGTTGCCGCTGCAGCATGGTAGAAGTGGGGGAGGTGGTGGAGTAGACGCACCTTCACTTGTGGTCATTGAGTGTTTGTCTTCTTCTCCTTCCTTCCTCTCCTTTTTCTTCTCTGACACTTTGTGCGCTCCATTGGGATCATACGCTGGTGAGCCTTGACGCAGTTCGCACACTTAGGCTGAGCTTCATGCGGCTTTGGGCGTTCCGATGTAGGGTGGTCACCCGCACAACGGCACATTTGACAGGGCGGTAGCAATTTACAGATGGCATGTCCGAACCCTTGGCATCTGTTGCATTGTGAAGGCCCGATTCTTATTTGTCACTCTTCATTGGAGACCCCTGGCATGTACAGATGCTCGTCAATTTTATAGAGTCTGTTTAGCTCTTCGTGTGTAAGGGGGTCCATTTTTATGTGAAAGAGACAGCTAGGTCGGTTCCTTTTTGGTGGGATAGGTCGCACAAAGGTGACAGGGAAACCTTTCTCAAGGTTCTCCTAGATATCCTTTGGGTTCGTATAATTGGGGAGCCCTCTTAACCACACCTTCGCGAGTTGATCCTCTTGTGGTATGTAGAAGGATGGCGTCCTCCTTGTTACGGTCTTTGAGGTATTTTTGTGCCTTGCGATATTCGTCATCGGATTGGGACCGGATAGAACCCCCTTCTCAAATAGGCGAGCGTTCAGTGCATGGTCTGGAAGTTGGTGGATAGTTTTAAAATGTTTCGCCCAATTCGGGAAGCATTCTACAATTAAAAAAACAAAAATACAGGGGTGGGTATTTGGCCGTTCGCCTCTCTGTGGATTGTTTTCGCCTTGATGCTGGTGGTGGTAGAGATGGCGGTGCCGTTATTGGTGCCGCTGCCACGCGCGCATAAGAATCCGGCGCCGTAGATGGTCCAGGTGTGGGCTCGAAGTTTATTTGTTGAGCTTCTTCTTGTATAGCGGCAAGGCCTATGCCAGATAGGACGTATTGTTCCATTCCCTCTCCCCTTCAGGATCTTGCTCTCCGAATTCCTGCATGTCGGTTGTTATACAGGTCGGGGTGGTAGTTGGCGATGGTGAGTCTGGTGGCGAGTTATGCCTCGTCACGGGCTATTTATGTCTTTTCGCAGGTTATTGGTGAAGTCCACTTTCACAACAACAGCTGTGGAAAAAATGTGATGGAGAATCTGAACCATTCGGGTGGAGTCTTCCTCCTCGAGGCTAGGTTCCGGCAAGATAGTGGTGCCGGTTCGATGTTATATGGAGACTCAGCTCCAATGGCGACGAACACGGTGCCTCTCCAGTACTCCTGGTCGCCTATCTGGCGGTCTTCGGCGTGGAGGGGAAGGGGTTTACCCCTTGCCCGACATCACTTTGGGTGATTGTGCTTACCCCTTGAGCTATTACACACCTTACTCCCCTTAGCGCATGCAACCACACCGGGTGAGACCACTGAGGGAGGCCCAGCGAGGCGCCCGCGAGCGGGAAGGGGTGTGTGAGGTTCTGATGGGTTGGGCGTTATCTTACATTAGTGTAGCATGTAGTGTAGTAGTATGCGGCTTACTGCGATGTCCTTTTATAATAAAAGGTAGACACAGTGTAAAACAGCTAATTACGAAAAGTAGGGCCCAGCGGAGGTAACGGCCTTTGAGATTTCACTAATCTTTAGTCCGTCCCAGGAGTAGCCAGCGACGTCACAACGCCTCACGGAGTGATCTCAACGCTTGGCGGAGTTCGTCGACTGGCAGCGTGTACAACAAAGCCAGAGCGCGATACGACACGACACGACACGTAGCACAGCTCGCGACTGACAACAAATTGCAAATTTAGCGACTTACTAACCTACCCCGGAAGACTTACTGTGAGGAGAACCGCGTGCGGAATGCCATTTGGATTCAAGCTAATCGATAATTTTCACTATCACATTTCCATTTATCACCCCATATCTTTATTGCCCATAACAATATCATAAAACAATTATATTTCACATAAAGTACAATAAAGACGTATTACAAATATAAACAAAACATTAAAATTACATGAAGAATTAATAAAATATTAAAATTGGTAAGAATTACTTCGCCCATATCCGTTCAATAAAATAAAACGATGTGTCTTACCTAGTTTGAAGAGCACCTCCCGCCCTCCCTTAATTGCGTGCACTAATCCCGTGATCACTACTCCCAACACCACTATACTAGGGATAAAAGCCTGTATTCACTTTGATTAGTGCGAGTGGTTGGTGTGTGTATCTTCTGTTTGGGCTTTTTAGTAATTTCAGTTGTTAGCTGTTGAACAGCAAGTACTCTGTTTAACTTTCTTGACCTCTTGCGAATATGTAGATCTCAAGTTTCTTATTTTAATATAAACTTCTTTACTTTTAAACCCCGGTATGTTCATAGCTTCGCTTATATGTAGAAATGCCACATCTCAGGCTCCTTTAATTTTGCAGAGAAAAAAAATCTTATTCTAATTTGTGTCTCTAAAAGTTATCCAGTGTGTTACTCCGATTCGATATGGGCTAGATTTTTTGTTTTCAACATTAAACAACATTATTTACCTACCTAATTTCGATGAGGTAATGAGTACTAACGCCGTAGGATTACTGTCAAATGTCTGTTTTGACATATTTTTTTCATGTAGTCGTGACCGTAAACAATTGTAAATTCCATAATTTAGAGCACAAATTTCGGGCAGTTTATATGTGAATTCTACGTGAAAAGTACAAAGATATCGTTTCCTAGGTTCCTGATTCGAAATTTATAGTCAATTACCAGAGTATGTTAAGTTTTATTAAGTAAATCGCGCATGATTTATGACTGATATTCATTGTAGAGTTTTGAATTTTCGAGTGTGTTTGTTCCAGTTCATTACGTGTGTTATGGTGTTTATTATGTCACACACTGGAATATTATAAAGGAGGCTGTTCACATAACTTAACCGACTACGGCAAAATTCAAAAGGTGTAATGTTATCCTGACGTACCTAGATAAGAGTGGAGTGTTATACTATTCTGATTTATTATTACTAGTGGTCCCTCAGTAGCCGAACTAGGTCTGCTACTGAGGGACCACTAGTAATAAATGATAAGAAGCATTTTTTTAAATTTTATTAATTGGCAAAATATAAATAAATTATTATTAAAAACACATTTTTAATTTGGCTTTATTATATTTGTATGCTGAGTTTATTAGAAAACCACAAAGAGTTTTTTCAATCATTACTTATTAAATTAATACTATATTATAGTTCGCCTATTGATTACATTATAAAAACGCATTTTTAAATTTCAATTTCTTCTTAAAATATGGTTCTGTGCGAATGTGAATAGTGTCAAATTGGATATTCCTTATAATTAAATAAAAACAGTAAAACAACCTCTGTGATAATTGGTAATAATTATAGTATCTGTACTAATTGTAAATTGTAAACACATATTTGTTAAAATTCGTTATATTTCTTTTATGAATAACCTACTTTGATTAGTACCTATCGTTTTTTGTAAGCACATTATTTTGTTAAGAGGTTAGAGTAAGTCAGCTCAAATTCTAATTTCGCCCCCCACTTCCCCGCGCGTCGTATGCTATGTACCGACATGTTTGTAATCACTAATACTCTAAGTAGATAGGTCGTTAGATACTTATTTCATTATGTTTATCATATATATGCCTGTTTCTTAACGCCAATCCAGTTGCTTCTTATTTTTATAACGGTTATTTCCCATTTTAATTTTACGTCTTCCTGTTGCGTAATGCGTTTTCTGATCGTAAGCGACACAACTTCTCCCTTCAAAAGCCGGAGCAATACTAACGGAGCGACAGGAACCAAGCTTACGCGCCGATAGTTTAGGTAATTTCTTTTTACAGTGAAAATAATGGTATTTTAAAAAAAGTAAATAACATAAGCACTGCTTTATAGTTAGTTCAGTTAGTATGCAAAGTTTCATGATCTTATTTAAAGTATTTTATGAATAACAGCGGTTTATTGTTTATTTTGGAGGTAACTTTGGATTTTTTTTCTATCGAGAAAATTTTACGAAATCGTGTTTTCGTCTAACATAATCACTAACATTAATCCTCAACTTTACCATATATTTATTTCAAAATTAATGCTGCAATATTTTCGGCATAACGAAGGATCTTGCCGAGCCATTTGACATTATATTTCCCCTTAAAGGCTTTAATTCTACTGTGTTGTGTGTTATTTTGGTGTTTAGTTTCGAAAACGTGCAAGCCAAGCTATCCATAATCTATGCATAGTCTAAGATTCGTTTTTGATTATTATATATATATATATATATATATATATATATATATATATATATATATATATATATATTGAATAAATATATTTCCAAATATAATTATATTACTTTGATATTACTGTATGTTTTTATAATTTACATAGTTACCTTTTAAAATATTCAAAAAAAAATGCCATTAGAATGTTATGTACGCAAAATAAATGACAATTAAAAAAATTGTCTTGGATACAATTAACAAAACAATTTTTTCATACTGATAATTATTCTACCTACGTAGGATAAATAATCTATGACAGAAACAGACCGCGCATGCACGACTCTACTGTATCCCGCGCATGCGCGAAGACAGTCACATGAGTAAAATACCGACCAGAGGGGTAACTTACATACAAACGACTCGCTGCGACTATACCCATGCATAGCGCAGCGATGTATGCTCAGCTCAGCTCTCACCGACAGGTTCACCGACCACAAACTAATAAGAGTACTAACGTTCACCGACGCTCCGTCGAGGTACAAACCGGTTTGGACCGGCTCAGTCATTGTCCATGAAAGGGCTGTTAGTCGTGCACATTAAAATAAATGGAAGAACAATGTTTCATGATTTTATAAATATTTTTTTTGTTTTTGTTTTACTATTAGAGTTAAGTTTAGAGATTGTCTATTATAAAATAAGACATTATAGATTTATTTAAGTAATTAATTAGTGTTCTGTATAAATTAATGCCTAACAGTTGTACAGTATGTAGATATATAATTCTGTACAACTAATACGTAATACTGTACAACTGTAATTTTTATACATACTATGTATAAAAAATCGAGAGAAAATAATACAATTGCCAGACAGTGGTGAATGTGGAGTTAGTGGTAGTAGTGCTGGTGGTGATGGTGGTGATTGAAGTATCGTTGATGGTGGTGGGTAGTAGAGCACCAGCAATACCACCGTCACCAATACCACCACCACGACCAGCATCACCACTACAGTCATTACCACAACTACTACCACCATCAACACCGCAACCATCCCACTAACCACTATCACAGCTATTACTACCACCACCTGATTCTTTGTACTGATGAATACATCTTACAAAAATGATATTAATAGAAATATATAATATGAAGCGAAGGGACTCGCGCGGTTTTTAATTATGAATTGCACATATTTTCTCAATATTCGCCGCTTTACCCTACAGCAAGATTCCATAAGACATAATACTATGAAAATTAGCAAAATATACAACTTTTGCAGTTTCAATTTAAGTTACAATAAATAGACATGTTATCATATTAATTTAAGTTACAATGAAATCATATTTTATTTCATATATTGCTTTTTTCCTTAAATTTTTCACATTCATCAGGGGACACCCCTATCAAAATAGGTAAATCGCTGTCTTCTATTGTAAGTCTCAAATCTTTGATATTTACTATACTGTTACAAATATATGCATGTACATATATGTATGTATATGTGTGTGTACATATGTTTATATATTTAATTATGACTTTATATTATATTAAGTATTAATGTGTGTTTAAATATGAATATATTTATGTATTTGTATATATATAAGTATTTGGGCTGACGTATGTATTTATTTTATCCCCATATGTGTTGTATAATAACAAAGTGCACACCTTATAATCATTAATTTATTAATCATATGTGTTTGAAACTGACCTACTGGAAGAAATTTCATTATGAGTTAAGTAGAGCCTTAGTACAA